CACCCAGTTGAGTTCCTCCACCATACATTAGCCCTACACATAGGGCCGAGCGTCTAGGGCAGCCCATCAGATTTGTTCAAAATCGTCGGTTAAAAATAATTTACTTAATCTTACACGCTCTAGGCGTGTGAGATTAAGGTTCCAAAAAAACACATGACCCTGAAAATTTATTTTATTTTGAAGCAAACAATGCAAGAAATATTATTTAAATGACTGCAAATTTTTCGTGTGTTTTTTTATCACATTTTGTAACAAATAAATATATTTCTAACCCTCAGATTTAAAATAGCCTGCATTATTATTAGATTTTTCGCTAGCATGACAGGAACATTAAGCTGAACCGTCTGTATAAAATGTAACACCTCGGGTTTTTTGAAATGGCGATTTTTCGAATTTGCAGTTTGCATTTTCGATAACTCCCTACGAGCTTGTATCACTTTAATATCGTCAGACCTTTCAATGGGAACATTTTCGGCATCCAAATAACATATCCCCAAAATATCTGATGTGCTCGAATTTTTTTCGATTTCCTCCACTTACATTTTTTAAACCACTTTTGAAAAGTTGAAACATTTTATAAAATTTCTTCATTCTATTACCTTCCATTTAATAGGTCCCCATGACACTCGAGTAAATCCCCAGTTAGCATCACGGGCTCCCCTACTATTAGTCAGAGGTCGTGGGTACGATCGCCACGAAACTCAAATAATAGTGTGATGAGCACGATCATTTGTTCCGTCTGGATGTAATTAATGTATGTATTTAGAAATATATAAGTAGGTTTATCAGTAGTCTGATGCCATACAGGCTCTGCGTAATTTGGGATCAGACGGCCGCGCGTGAGATGTATGAGATTATTATTACTATTACTTGACAGTGACAGAAATGACAGTAATAGAGTACATTTTAAATGATAAAAATGCACACGATGCACATTAATAGAGATTAAAACGTTTTTTTTAAGTAATGGTGGAACGGAAGGATAAACAGAGAAATTTCAGAGCGTATTTAACCGTATAAATTGATAATAAGTTGAATTTGGTGGGTAGCAACACGTAATTATAATCTTTGTGTTTGTACTCATTGACATAATAGATAGTTATTATGTGATTCAGTTCATCCCGTGGCTGTCGTAAGAACCGACGATGTTCTTACAAGAAAGAAAGACTGCCATAATTACGTGAATAGGACTAAATTTATTGTGAACAAAATTTGGGTGTTTAACACGCTCTAACAAAAGGCACAGGCATATTGAACACAGGTTGCAGGCGTAAAAGTATGTATATATTATGTTTGAACGAAATAAGGATAATATTTTAAAAAACAGGTTTCCTTCACACTAAATACAAAAGTTTTATTCCTAATTATATAGCTTTTTGGATTATTCGCATCCAGGTGGTTTTCGAGAGTCGGCTAAGACCTGTATGAACAAAATCTACCAATATACATTTTATATAAAGGTTGGAAAGATTATTTATTTATTTATTTATTTAATACTTAGGTTCTTCACAGCTGACAGTATATATTTTACATAATAATAGTCGAACAATACACCAATTACGAAGTACACAATTAATTGAAGGTAAATACACAGCAAGAGTAAACAATTCTGTATGAATATACCTAAAACAGTGCATCTCAAATATAGCTACACAGATAGCAATAATGTTGTTTGTATGTGGAGTGGTGTGTGTAAGTGAATGTCGAGTAGTGTGTGTAAGTGAATGTGGTGAGTGGTGTTTGTATAGCGTGTGTGGGATGTTCAAAGTGTGATGGTATGTTTTTGTGGCAATTCTTGTGCTTGGGACAAAATCTGAATAATTTTATTTTTGAACGAATTTCGGGGAGTGTTAAAGGGATCCAGAGATGAGAAACCGATATTGTATATATGTGGAATACGGATGAATGGTGTCATTTTGATGTAGTTGGTTGTTGCAGATGGGGTTGCGAGTAATGATGTATGTCGGGTACGGCGCGAAGGAACACTAAAATTAATTTGCTCTAAAAATGTGTTGCAGTCAAATTTATTGTTGAGGATGTCGTACAAGAACATCATGTCTGCGATTTGGCGTCGATCCTCCAGTGTATTTATTTTGTAATATTGACATGATTGCTCATATGTCATGTTTTTTACTTGGGCTTTATAGTTTAAGTGTTTAATGAATTTCTGTTGTATTCTCTCAATTAAGCCTATTTGAGATTTTAGAAATGGTCTCCAGATGATACTTGCAAATTCCAAGACACTTCGAACATAGCTGTAATAAAGAACCTTAAGACAGTGTAGGTCTTTAAACGGTTTACTATTGCGTATGACAAACCCCAGTGATTTATAGGCCTTACTGATTACTTGATCAACGTGCACTTTAAATGTAAACTTACTGTCTAAACTAACACCTAAGTCCCTTATCTGTGATGTTCTGGGAACAGACTCATAGCTTATGCTATAGTCATAGCTGATAAGGTGTTTTTTCCGAGTAAAGCTAATTATTTGGCATTTTTGAGCGTTAACACTTATTTTATTGAGTTGATAATAGTCAGTTAGTCGGTCTAGGTCAGATTGAAGTAGTAAGCAATCGTCGTGTTTATTGATTATGCGAAATTTTTTTTTGTCATCTGCATACAAAAGATGTTTTGAATGATGTAGGCAGTCTGGTAAATCATAAAGATAGATATTATATAATAAAGGCGATAATAGCGATCCTTGAGGCACCCCCGAGGTGACATCTACATAGTCCGATCTATAACCGCCTATCACTACCGCCTGACGCCTATTTCTCAAATAGGATTCCAGCCATCGCAAAAGGTTACCTTTTATTCCCACGGCATTTAATTTTGCAATAAGGACCCCATAATGTACCCGGTCGAATGCCTTCTCAAAATCTGTGTAAATCACGTCGATCTGCGCATCCCGTATGTTAGATGTTATATAGTTACTTAGCTCTAGAAGGTTGGTGTTGACGTTACGACGTTTAATGAAGCCGTGTTGTGTTGATGGTAGGCAATGCTGCGCGGTACTGTATATGTGCTCATAAACTACTTTTTCTAACATTTTACCAAAGTTGTTAAGTAGAGAAACCGCTCTATAGTTTTTTATGTCATTTTTAGAACCTTTTTTGTGAATTGGTACAATTTGAGCGTCCTTCCATCGTGTAGGAAATATACCATCGTTTAACGACTTCTGGAATATAATTTTAAGCGGTTCGAGTAAACCAGTTTGACATTTTTTTATAAACACGGCTGGAAGGCCGTCCAAACCTGCGCCTTTTTTTGGGTTTATTTTACTAAAAACGGTTTTTAAAGCCTTGGTAGTAACCACAACAGAGTAAATATTTGATGCGTGGGGGGATTCCGGACAAATTACGGTTTCAGCGGGATCGGGTTGTTGAAAAACGCTATGAAAAAATGAATTAAAAGCATTACAAATGTCTTCACCGTTGGAGAAGGTAGTTCCGTCATAAGACATATGGCTTGGGTAGCCCAAGGTCTTCCTTTTGCTCTTAATAAACTTCCAGAAGTCTTGCGGAGATTTTTTAATGTCTCTTTCACATCTTTCTATATACTTGGTGTAGAAATCGTTTTGGAGGTACTTTACCCTTTTTCTTAGGAGTGAAAATTCCGCGTAGTCGCGAGGATTCCTGAACCTTTTCCATTTTTTATGAATTCTGGACTTTTCTTTAATAACGTTGATGAGCGAATTTGGGTACCATTTTGAATAATTGAACATGCCAGATATGCTGACTGAGGGTACATGAAGGTTAATTAATGAATTTAATTCTTTGTACAAGTTATCTACCATTACGTCGACACTATTCGAGCCCAAATATTGATTCCAGTTTTTTTTACATAGCTCCTCATTGATTTTATCGTAATTGGCTTTAAAAAAAATTCTAATTAGTCGCGGTTTGCCCTGAATTGGCTTAAAAACGTAATCTGATATCTCGATTTCAAGTGGAATGTGGTACTTGTCAATTTTCACCAACGATGAATCACTTTGCTTACATTCTAATATTGTATTCGAAATAACAAGATCTAACACGTTGCCACTGCAATTGGGTGTTAAATTATATTGGGTCATACCCATATAATCCAAACAATCGACAAAATCACCTGCTGCTGTGCTTAATTCGGCATAAGATGCATGGCCCACGTGGTGTCCGTCTTTCTTCCATGCAATGAAAGGGAGGTTAAAATCTCCAATAACTACAAACGTGTCATTTGGGAAAGCCGAGTGAAGCATTGCAAATGAGTTTCTAAAATCATTTAGCATAACATGAGAATTTTTAGATATAGGTATATAGACCGTTGCGAGGTGTAAACTGAACGTTGAGAAGGCCAAAGCGCCCGGCGAATTATTCTTAGAGATTGCATTATTTATTGTTACCCACACCGATTCCGCACAACCCGTGTTTATGTCGGTCCTTGCTACCGCTGAAAGATCTCGTCTTATACAAAGTAGAACTCCACCACCCTTCCGAGAAGCAGGGCGGTCGTATCTAAACACATCATAACGATTATCACATATTTCATTGTCTAAAATTCCCTCACAAAACCAACTTTCGTTTATTATAATTATATCGTACGAATTAGCCTCAATGTGACGATAGAAATCCAGTAATTTAGTCCTGAGCCCGCGCGTATTTTGAAAAATAATTCGTAACTTACGCGTAGTCATTGTTAGGTGTTTATTATATTGGTACGGTGATAAATTCTTTTAATTTCACTAAAGTACTAAGGAGGGTAGGTGTGAAAAAATATGAAGATCACTTGTACGATGTAAGGGACTACCCGCATAATTAAGGTGACTAGGAGCGGCCCAGAAACTCTCAACCTTTGGCTTATGAATTTCAGATGTAGTATTAAGTAACCACAAGTAATGAGTGTGTCGACTGTTGTCGTATATAATTTTAAATTTGTGTGATGTGTATTGTTATGAGTAAAAGTTCTTGTGTGAATGTTGTAGTTAAAGTGTAGAAAACAAACATAAAACAAACTGACTAGTTCTAAGACGAAAATTTCTGTATATCTTCTTCTGCGGTAATTTCTACTGGTGGTGATGTTTCGTTGTTTCGCATATAAATTGAACAGTTTTTTACCCAGACGAATTTAACATTCAGTTCCCGAGCGCGTTGACGGCAGTTGTTCAGCAGTATTTTATTGGCTATTGTTAAATGCTCATTTATGAATACTTTATTAGAATTCCCGTCATAACCTAAGTCTTTTGATGTAATTCCTTTATCTTTGTTAAGTTTTCTAAAATTGATTATTATGCTGTCCTTGGCCCTTCTGTTCTTCAACTTTGCAATAATTCTTCGTGGACGCCCAGGGTGCGAGTGATGAGGTTGTACTCGAGTTGTGAACTCAATGTCATCTGCATTAATATTGGCATTAACAAATGTTGCAATCTGTAGAAGTAACTGCACCAAATTTTCACCACTTTTTTCGGGGACTCCGACTATCTCAACGTTCATTAACAATAATTGTTACCTTTATAATCGTAAGAACTGTACGGATGGCGTAGTGGTTTAAGCGGTCGCCACGCCGCTTCCTACTACGCCGAGTGTTGTGGGTTCAAACCCCACATGGGACGACACTTTGTGTTTGACTAATTGTTGTTCTGAGTCTGGGTGTTCTTTGTGTCCGTTTCATGTATGGTTGTAAGTCCCCCGAGACACAGGATGTTTGCATAGGTTTCTAAACTTGGCCTTCGGTAAACGATCAATACTCCCTCTAAGGCAATTAACGTGCAGCAACGCATTCGTGTCACTTGAGTAGCAGGTGGGCAGCACTCCTAGCAGAAGCAGGCCTTTTCTAGGGTATACCTGGTTCCCCGGCTATTAGTACCCGAGACGGCGTGCGGTTTTAGTCGGTTCGAGTCCGACATGCCACCGATAGATAGGTGGTATCCGAGGGGATTTCCGCACGGAAAAAAAAATGGTGGGCAGCACTTTCTTTTGTTTTTTTTTGCTCTTGGTATGGTAACGAATGCCCGCCTGCTCCTATACCAGACGAAAAAAATAATCCCTCACATATTTGAGTTCAATATCAACCATTAGCTGTACACTTCTTTTATTTTTCTATTAATGTTTATAGAAGTCTTTTATACAACTCCACTAGAATTAAATCTCGTTTATCGAACGAAGAATTACCTTTTTTCCTTTACATCTTAAGTGGCGACAGAACCACAGTTACCCTGTTTACTTAAGTGCTATTATTTATTTGTGTTAAGCCAGATACCTGCTTTAACATGTTAAGCGTACCCTTTTAAAGCTTCAAAGAACTTTCAATACACATTCATAATATATAAAGATCCAACAGGATAATGTTATCGAACTCAATGACGTAACCTTATAACATTTTAAATCAAGAAATGGTTATTAAATGTTAGCGTAAATAACTAAAAACCTTTTATTTATGTTTTTAGAAATATATATGTATGTTTATCAGCAGTCTGATAATACAGGCTTTGCCTACTTTGATCAGATCAGGATAGGATTATTCATATTTTAATTATACACATTTTTATTTATTTTTTCTATATCCTTGCTTTTTTTCCTAATGCGGGGCATTTATTAGTGTACAGATGTGTGTATAAATTTTAAATAAACTCTGGTCGTTTTATATCTTTAGTGCAACAATCCCAGAGCACAGTGGGACCATATCCCGAAAATCTAACCAGAATTAGAAAAAACTTCATATTTTAGGGACTGTTTCTTCAGAGATGAGTTAAGAGATGTCCCTAGAGTCCCAAACCACTATTTTTCAGGTTACCTATTTTACTTTATTACTATTTCACTAAAAAAAGTTACGATGTTCTGGCGTGTTTGGTCATTAAACCTGTTGGAGGTTGTAACTTACAGTATTATCCTCAAAATAAAAAAATATTTTGCTGCCCCAGACTGACAGACTGTTTATTTTTAAGAATTTATTTGTAAAATTAAGTATACTATTGGAAACCCGAGTGCTGAGATATGAAAAGCCTTAAACTATTCGTAATTTCATAACACCTATTATTAACTAGATCATTAATTTAATTTATGGATTCGTAATCAGCAACCCCAAAAGCCTTGAATTTTATATATAATTTGATTACGTTAGGAAATATGGGATATTTTATGCAAGAGGGTAGACAATTTGGGGTGAAGGAGGTACACTTTTGTGAATTTGACATCAAAATAGTAATCAGCGACCACGAAAACCCCCGAGAAAGGAATTTCTGATCATTTAATTTATTTTTAGATTTTTGGCCAGCTTTTTTGGATGTCCCACTGTGCAGCGGTTTGGTTTACCCGGATTCAGGATTTTTAGTAGTCATCTTATGTTCAGCATTCTAATATATTAAATATTTTCTATTAAAACAGAAACAAAAAATATCTATACATTGAGCTACAGAAGTCAATAACAATAAATTTAAAAATTAACCGTGTAGTGACTAATTAGCACTAATAGTGAATATTTTGGTAAATACTAATAATTATTGTTCAGTGTTACCAATTTCAACCCCCATTATCTAAAAGCAAACAGTACCTATTATTTAGCAAATCCACAAAGACGCATTAGAATTGCCAGAAACATGCACACACTGCATGGATACCGTAGTGGTTTAAACGGTCGCCACGCCGCTCACTACTACGCTGAGTATTGTGGATGGATCACACAAAGTGCCGTCCCATGGACATGGGACGACACTTTGTGTGTGTTCTTTGTGATCGTTTCATGTATGTTTGTAAAGTCCCCCGCGACACAGGGTATATTTCTAATGCAAGAGGTCTTTAAAAAAAAAAGAATTTAAAGAAACTTACAATTCTGTCTATAAAAAGCTAATTTACGTAAAATTTTCTTTAGCGTAAAATTATCGGTGGTACTTATCAGAAAAAAGGTAGGTTTTTTAGTTATGGTATACTATTAATCATTAAGTAATTCAACATTTTACTTTTAATAATATATTTAATGACATTTAATTCTTTTTTACTATGCGTACAATTAGACGTGAAACAATCGACTTTATCATTAAAAGCAATCTCGTTCAAACTATCTTAGTACTTTAGATAAGTCCCATTAGTGTTATCTAAATGTTTGTTTGTGGCTAGACAAGTGCTGCACTGGGCTTAAATATATGCAGCTATATACGTACTTATGTATGTCTGTATCTCCACAATTAAGGTAGGTGATAATTAAGACAGAAGATTGTAGCAGACAGCGGGCAGGACGGCAGCGTGTCGTGGTTTAAGCTGTTGGTTGTGTAACATCTAACTTTTTAGGGTTCCGTACCTCAAAAGGTAAAAAAGATCACTTTCTTGTCCGTCTGTCCGTCTGGCCGTGTGTCACCACCGATTTTCTCAGGAACGGGTAGATCTAGCAAGTTGAAATTTATACCAGATACTGAGGTCTATGGTCCCTATTAGGTGTATAAAAATCAAGGTCCTGAGTTAACACGATAAAAAGATATGGGCAAATTTCGATTTTCGCGAAAACTTGTAATTACCAATTATTATTTTTTTGGAATTGTTCCTTTATTTGTACTATAAGACGTTTCTTTTTGCCAAATTTCGTGATTCTAGGTCAACGGGAACTAGTTTTTGTAGTGAAAACTTATTTAGGCGCGTTGGGCATGGAAAACCTCCTTTCTAAGGAGAGGCCTATGTCCACCAGTGGACTGTTAAAGGCTGTTGATGTGATGTGATGTGATGTGGGCATGGAACAACAAACAAAAGAATGCATTTTTTGAGATGGAAAAATACCATTGAACGGTCGACACTCTTAAAGTTACCGACACCTCTGCATGTAAGTATCTACGTATATTGGCCCCGTTTACACGAGAGTTGAGTTTGGGTGAAATGAAATGATAATATAACTATATATAATATATACATATATTGTGTATATACGTACAACATAGATATATATTCATGTCGGAACTTATCGAATCGAAAAAAACAAAAAAAAAATCCTGTTGTAATAAAGAAAAAAAAAAAAGTTTTTACTTCTGTCAGCACTCCCGGTGTGCTACTGTTTTTTTTATGGCGCAGGGGCAAACGAGCAGTCGGGTCACCAGGACCTCAATTCTGCTATTTTATGTTCACGCCAAGCAACTGTCATACCACTGACACGCTATTGAGATGCCATCGAGTAGCCATTGCCATCGGTATAAATATCGGTAGTATCGGTATCGGTATAAATATATTACGTTTTTTTGAGGAATTTATAATTTAAAAAAATAAAATAAAAAAAAAGAAATATATAAATTAAAATAAGTTTAAAAAAATAAATAAAAAAAAAGAAATAAATAAATTAAAATAAATTATTAAAGAAATAAATATAAAAATTATAAAAAAGAAATAAATAAATTATTAAAATAAATTAAATAAATTATTAAAAAAATAAAATTATAAAAAAATGAAATAATTTATTAAAATAAATAAATAAATCATCAATCATCTCAATCTCTCAATAGCGTGTCAGTGGTATGACACTAGCATAGCAGAATTGAGGCCCTGGACACTTGCAACTTAAAAGGCACAAGTATGTTACTGCCCGTTATGTCCCCTTCTCAGAATTGGGGAGAGGTTGAGCTCTGGTAACCTCACCCACTCGGTGTAAATCAACGAAAGAATTATTGAACACCGGTTTATATTTATAATAAATAATAAAGCCTGTTATTTTGAACGTCCCTCCAATCTCTTTTGACGGCTTTAGATAGTTAATGGATGACACCTTAGCTTTCCCGTCACGCACAATTTTTTTTTAGTTAGCACTCTACAAGTCCTAAAAGATAGTAGTAGGTAGCGCATATTATCAAAATCAAAGTACATTTTTCTATCAATCTTATTAGTAGGGAATCGTAGGGAATTAAAACTTTCCTTGACTTGCCTTCTGTTCCAGTTTTGAATACTCTAAAAAGTTTGTACCGTTAAAAAACGTAACAACGTCCCGAAACTAATAAAATGTTCTATTAAATATTCCCGAACTACAGCAATTTAACGACACACTGTACCGATGTTGCCAGTTCATTCTCTAGGTTAGTGTGTTGAATCAGAATAGTTTTTTTCCGCATCGTATTCGTTTTGCGACCTATCCTTACAAATAAAACGAATTTGAACTGTACATAAATTTGTTTCGCCAATTGGCGTAGTTGTTAGGTCCTTTTTTTACTAAATTTTTTTGAGTTATTAACAAAATCCGAAATGCTATCTTTTTTCATCTTAATTTGTTAATAACAATAGCATTTTTTTATGTGCTAATACATACTTCCAATACATTTTTCTGGACGTCAGTCCGACGCTCATACTTTATCAAGCAGCTTTATCAAGAATTAATACGTTTTTGAACTTGTTGACTAGCCTATTAGTCAATGAAGGGTTAACTGTAAAATGTTATAATGTTATAATATAACTGTTATAATGGCCTAAAAGGCCGGCAACGCGTTTGTGACTCCTGAATTGCAGACGTTCATGGGTGGCGATGGTTACTTTCCATCAGGTGGCTTTTCTGCTTGTCTGCCCCTTCTAACATAAAAAAAAAAAACAAAAAATATGACTACATATATTCTTAAATGTATAAAAATCTTAAGTAGGTTTGTTTACGCATCAAAAACTCAAAAAGTTCTGCACCGATTGATCTCAAATTTTGACACGATATACAACTCTCTTCAAAGATGTTTTTATTTATTTCTCGCGTCCGTTTTGTTCACATTTCTCATCAATGTCATCACAGTATGCCACATCGAAGCATGGTAGGTTACATTTAGTAATTTACCTATTTATAAAATAAGATAATACTTTATTGGCTGCACGGTTATAGTAGTGGTTTAAACGGTCGCCACACCGCTTACAATAACGCTGTTTGTTATGGGTCCGATCCTCACATGGGACGACTCTTTATGTGATCCACAAATTTTCGTTCTGAATCTGGGTGTTCTTTGTGTCCGTTTCATGTATGTTTGTAAAGTGGGGGACTTTTTTGTTTTTTTCCGTGCGGAAATCCCCTCGGATACCACCTGTCGGTGGCATGTCGGACTCGAACCGACTAAAACCGCACGCCGTCTCGGGTACTAATAGCTGGGGAACCAGGTATACCCTAGAAAGGAAGTCCCTGGTACCCCGACATACCTCGGGGTACCAGGGACCGACACGTTCCCCCCGTGTGGGAACCCCATGTTCCCTGTGCTCCCTGGAAGCGAGCGCGCTTCGCAACGCGCTCGCCCCCACCCCGGCCTGCTTCTGCTAGGGTGACAGATGGCCTCACCTATCACCCCCAGGCCTGCGCTTATGGAGGACGGAGGTCGTTCTGCGACCTCCGGCGCCTGAGTCGCCTGCGGTACCTGGCCCGTTCCCGGGCCTGGCGGGCTGGGAGAGTCCTAAACCTCTCCCGGTCCCGCTCCGCCGTCTCCTTCGCGAGCATAACTTGCTCGCAGAAGGAGACGGCAGAGTTCCACGCACTCTCGCTCCGCACGATAGCCGCAATCAGGCTATCGAGCGAGAGAACTCCCACTCCGATGGCCGCCACGAGGTCTCGCCTCTGCTCAACCCACGCCGGGCACTCTGCCAGTTGTAAAGTCCCCCGCGACACAGGATATATTCCTAATGCGGGAGTTGTCTTTTTATTTCTTATATTTGTACACCAGGGTTTTACAGACTTTATAAAGTAATTAAATCAACAACAGATGTATGATGTATGTTATCGCTTATAGCAATTTCTTCCAGTAAGTTATAGTGTTATATATATCACTAGCTTGTGCCCGAGGCTCTGCCCGCGTGTATTTCGGTTATGGCGGTAAAAAGTAGCCTTTGTCTGTTATCAAGAATCAAACTATCTTCATACCAAATTTCATTCGAATCGGTTTAGCGGTTATTGATTCCCCATACAAATTTCCACCCCTCTTTTAACCCCCTGTATGATGTGGATGTAGATGATTTCTATGATTAGAACTATCCTATCGTCATAGTCCTATAATAGTGTCGGATCTGACATTTATTGAACTTTACGGGGCAGCCATTTTAAATAATTATGTTATTTTTTTGACATAACTTTTGTAATTATGAAAATTTGCATACAAGTGAAAAAAAGGGTTGGTTTTAAAATGCAATAACAATAACAACTAATAATTTTACAATTTTCTAGAAAAATCACATGCTTCATTTTACTTTGAACGCCTATAAAACAAACACTGAATAATTTAAAATCTAAAATATATATAATTTTGTGAATGTATCCAAATTTGGTAAAAACTGAAATTCGTTTTTTTTTCAAAACCAACATTATTCTACCATCATGACGCTATGTCCTTTCTCGGGACTCAAACTATCTTTACACCAAATTTCATCTTAATCGGTTCAGCGCCCTAAACGTGAAAAGCTAACAGACCGACAGACACTTTCGCATTTATAATATTAGTTTAGATAGATAGATAGATAATAGTTTAGAAAAAAATAATTTGTAACATGGATTTTATGATACTTTCAGATACTATTCGGTTGCTTATGCCGTTCTAAACTGCATAAGTTTCGTTTCAATGGCTTTCAAATTTTCGAGTTTCTTTAAAAAGTGAATTAAAAAGTAATCGAAGTCGACAACATTCCTGTGCCTCATTTCTGCTATTTTACTCGTAATATTGTATCAATAGACTGTCGATGTAATGTCGTCCGAATAGTTTTGCACTTTTCTTATTCTACTAACTATGTATGATGAATTGTCACTGATACAAATGTCGTCGATGTATTTGTAAGAGATTGGTAAACAGTACATTTTAAATTTGTAAGAAAATGATTTATTTAATTTGCCAGGGATGGCAATATTGTTGATATCACCATTGATGACCTATATTACTATATCGACAGAATAGTGAAAACATGTTAGTAGAATACTGATATTTTGACCGATGTCAATGGCGTCTCAGTGGCATCTCAATAGTGTGTCAATGGAATGACAGTGGCTTGGCGTTCACATAAAATAGCAGAATTCAGGCCCTGGTGTGGTGGTGATTAATGGTATATATACCTTAATCTGGCTCAATACTCAACTTACGTGTTTGAAAATCTTGCTTTTTAGGGTTCCGTACCCAATGGTAAAACGGGACCCTATTACTTAGACTCCGCTGACCGTCTGTCTGTCTATCTATCTGTCACCAGGCTGTATCTCATGAACCGTGATAGTTGGACAGTTGAAATTTTTACAGATGATGTATTTCTATTGCCGCTATAATAAGAAATACTACATATATTTAAGGGGGGGCTCCCATACAACAAACGTGATTTTTTTGCTCGTTTTTGCTCGATATTGATAACGGAAACAGGTAGATGCTTGAAACATTAACAGAATATTTAGTTAAATATACACTTTAAAAATAAATAATTAAATTAAAATAAATATAAATATTTGTTTTATTTTAATTTAATTATTATTATTTTAATTATTTTTTATTATTATTATCCCATACAACAAACGAGATTTTTTTGCCGTTTTTTTAAGATAATGGGAGGGAACCCTTTGTACGCAAGTCCGACTCGCACTTGTCCGGTTTTTTTAGTTTGACTGTTATCATTGAATTGTATAAAAAGATGAATAATGAAATCATTCAAGCGTACAATAATTATTATTGTATGATTACGGAGCATTTTGCTGAGAGAGAGCATCCTCCGAGAGTCAGTTGTTATCAAACTTACTGTAAGACGTACGCTCGCATCGTTTCCGTAAGTTTATTAATTTTATTTAGTTAAATGTAAATACAATAATAGTCATCATTTAAACCAAGCAATTTCAGTCTTTGTTGAATTTAACAAAAATTTAAAAGATTTGTTTAAAGTGTTTTTGCAGTTTTTTTTTACTTTTTGTATTTAATTAGATAGTAGGCCAAAACCTCCTTTCTAAGGAGAGGCCTATATCCAGCAGGGGATTATTCAAGGCTGTTGATGTGATGATTTAATTAGAGAATTGATTAATTATTATTGTGACTTATTTTAAACAAATGTCTATTGAGGAATTTCCTGTGCTGATAAACTTGATCTCGGCAATAATACCTTGTGACAAAACACCTCGTGGTTTTAGTTGGTTCAAGTCCATCATACCACCTTATCATTTTGTATTAAAATTAACGGGCTTTTATTAACCTTGGTTAAATATATCATTTTAAATTTAGTTATTCATTCAAATCAATATTTTACAAAGTGCAAAAATAATAAACATGTTTAATTTTCAAGGTAAACAGTGTATACATAACTTCGTTGCGTATTTAGTTCCCAATAAGGAATATAACACTAACTATATAATTTTTAAATCAACAGTGGAATCATTTCCCTCGTGACCATGGTGACTGCACGCAGATATTTTGTAACTAAACACTTCGAAGGAGACCCAAAGAGAAGTGATTTCAAGCTTGTCGAGTATGAACTACCGAAGCTACGGGATGGAGATATCCTCGTCAAAGTAGAGTGGGTCAGCGTGGATCCCTACATGCGGGCCTACAACAACAGGTACATTGTTCCATACAAGGAGTTCGGTTACCAAATTGGCATAATTCAGGAGTCTAAGAATCCAGATTACCCTGTAGGTACTCGTATAGTGTCTCATCAAGGGTGGTGTGATTATTACGTTATGAACCCTGATATTAAAACTGGCCAATACGATTTTGGACTAGTAGACTTCGGACACTACAAGTTACCTGACTTACAGGGACTGCCAATATCATACGGAATCGGTGTTATCGGAATGCCTGGGGCGACCGCTTATTTTGGTCTCCTGGAAATTTGTAAGCCCAAAGCAGGAGAGACTGTTGTAGTGACGACTGCTGCGGGAGGTGTTGGGTCTATAGTTGGACAAATAGCAAAAATTATGGGATGCAGAGTTATCGGATTCACCAGGAATGATGAAAAGGTGCAATGGTTGGAGAAAGGTCTCGGCTTTGACAGAGCATTTAACTATCAAACAGTAGATGTAACCGCAGCGTTGAAAAACGCAGCTCCTGATGGAGTAGACTGTTACTTCGATAACGTGGGTGGTGACTTGAGCTTTCTCATCATGAACCAGATGAATACATGTGGAAGAGTTGCCATTTGCGGTAGTGCTTGTTCTTACAACGATGATCCCAGTAAAATGACACAAACAACCATTCTTCAACCACTGATTTTGTCAAAACAACTTAAAGTCGAAGGCTTCGTTGTATTTCGGTGGAGTGAGCGATGGCCCGAAGCCTTCGAACAGCTGATCAAATGGATTAAAAGTGGTCAACTCAAAGTTAGAGAGCAGATAACTGAGGGCTTGGACAATGTATTCGATGCGTTTTATTCTATGCTCTCAGGAAAGAATTTTGGAAAAGCCGTAGTCAAGGTATAATAAATCTTATTGCACACTGCCATTATCAGTGATTATAATGTGAATGAACCGAAACTAGATAGGGAAGAATTGAGTAGGCAACCAGGATTTCATAATAATTTTATCATTTTTATACCTAATGAAAATAATGTACCAGTAGATACAATAGTAGTCAGATAACCTTTATACTGGAGGCATCATTATCAGAATAACAGGTATGTTTAGATTAAAAACTTAACAATAACATATTATAATGATGATAAAATGTACTAAAATCAAAATAATATATTTTACGTTTTTGGTACATTGCAGTTTAATTCTCATATCTGATTATTGTTTATGTAACGAGAGCTTTAGCAATTTATCAATTAGTTTAATTAGTGAAAATAACCATATAAACGTTAGGAAAATAAATGTATATTCTGTTTTTATTTGAGTTTCAATTCTGAAAATATTTTAACAATCATGTAATGCTTACCCAATTTGCGATGAGAAAACAGTTGTGCGCAGAGCTGTCATTTGTTGTTTCACGTAATTTCAGATTTATTATTATTAATACTTAATGTACGTCTGTCAATTCACCTTTTTGTAACTGGTCGTTACTTTGTTCCTTTATTACTGGGGTTGCGTATGTGTACAGAGAGAAATAATAAGTCTATGAACAACTTATTTAAATTTATTAATTACGACTGTATACAATATATATGGGTGTGCTGTAGTACGGTATACAAGACGACCACGGGACAACTGTGGTTCACAGCGCACTACAGTACCGATAACTCAAAACGTTGCGTCAGCATTCCCGCAACACTATTTCCCTCTTTTTTTTTTTAAAAAATATTTATATTTTTTTTTTACAACACAAAATCTTAATTCTAATCAGTATATTTATCAAACAATATTTCTTGTGAATTTACTTTGTCACCAAAGGTGACATCATCTTTCTGCTCAATCAACAGTTTGCAACTTAATATGAGTACTATGCTATGTATTGTTATGCGATAAGCCTGTGAATACATTCCAACATTGTAATAGCGACAAAAGTTTTAACATTCATTATCACGCTATTTAAAATTTAGATATCAGCAGCGTACTTAAATATTAATTTACCATGACTTTAACACAATTATTTATTCTTATATTACGCATATAATATAATATGTTTGGGTTACATTTTGTTATCCTTTCTTGACATCGTTGTGGCCGGACACCAACAACACAAACCATGCAGCTTGTTCTATGACCGAATAGCAAAATATAACACACACTATTAAATCGTTACAAAATAATTTCAATCACATACACACTTAATAACATGAATGCACGACGATTTCTCGATCAAATAATCAGTAAACCACTTTATGAGGTGCAGACGTTCCATTATTAATTTGCGGCGGTTGCATAGTTTCTACCTTAATATTTGGTAAGGTTATACAACTAGCAACCATTTCTTTCTTCACCCATTTCCTGACGCCTTTAGCACATTTTCGTTTTAATGCATATCCAATCACTATAATCAGTAGTACTATAATAATTATCATAACGATACCAATCATATTCAACTTGTTATCTACTTGAGCTGTGCTGGATATATTTTCGTTAACAACAACTTTGTCCTTTGTCTGTAAGTTGCCCATTTCCTAATTAATCAACTACGACGTACAGGTATCAAACACTAAATGAATTTATAATACATTTTCTATTTCATATTAACACGTAATTATATAACCAAATGTCCTAGTTAAATTATTGTCTAATCAGCAAAATTAATTGTTACAAATACTTCATTGGCTTTTTGCTGACTCGTCCTGTTCTCGTAGTATAACCAAAGCTACTGGGTTCGGCTCTTTGAAAAGTTACTTTTTTCTGAACTTTTTGACAGACAGTTTTACCACTATTATCTACTACTTCCGGTTGTACATTATCCTCTGCTAACATAAATGCAGGTTTAAGACGGTCTATAGAAACTCTAAGTTGTCTGTCTGGCAATTGTACACAAAAAACTTTATCAGTTCTATTAATGACGCGATATGGTCCGTCGTAAGGAGGTTGTAACGGTTTCCTTACTGCGTCATTTCGAACAAAAACATAATCGCACGTATACAAATCTTTATGCACAAAAATTTTACGTGATGATCTATTTTCTCTACTAGACGGTTTATATTCGTCAATAACTTCTTTTAACTTGCTAACGTAATCATTATCATCACACGATTTCACATTGCTTCCATCATAAAAATCACCAGGTAATCTAATATTATTACCATACAACATTTGTGCAGCGGTTACGCCTGTATCTAACCTAATTGTCGTGCGTAATCCTAACATTACAGTTGCCAGTTCATCTACCCAAGACTTATTGCTTAAACGAGCTGTAATTGCAGTTTTCAACGATCTATGCCAACGTTCTACTGTTCCATTGCACTGAGGATGATACGGGGTGGTTCTTGACTTTTTAATTCCCATTAATAACATTAGTTGTCTAAATAAGTTACTTTCAAATTGTCGACCTTGATCGCTTGTAAGTTTAACTGGACAACCAAAACGACTAATCCAACCCTCGTATAACGTCTTTGCGACTACTTCTGCAGTCATTTCCTTTATAGGAAAAGCTTCTGGCCAACGTGTAAATCTATCCACTATGGTTAAACAATACCTATATCCTTCAGTTGTGATTGGCAAAGGACCTATTAAATCTATATGTATATGCTCGAAACGTTTAGTAATCTCAAATTGTCCTAAATTAGATACTGTATGCTTCTGTATTTTCGCTCGTTGACAATTTATACATGTTTTGGCCCAATTACCGATGTCTCTATTCATATTTGGCCAAAAATATCTATCTGCTATTATTTTTCTACTAGCTCTAATGCCTGGATGGCTCAAGTTATGTATCGAATCAAAAGCTAAACGCCTAAATTGTTCCGGTAAATAAGGACGTATGTTATTAGTAGATGTTTCGCAAACAACATGCTTATTGGGTACATTTAAAGTTACACGCTTAAATATCAACTTACAGTTGTTATCCGATTCACTAAGAATTTTTGCAAGCTGTTCGTCGACTTCCTGCGCAACTGCCAGTTCTGCGAAGTCGATAATCGTGGGACTTGTTATTGTTTCAATTCTAGATAATGTGTCCGCTACAATATTATTTTGACCACTAATATGCCTTATATCAGAACTAAATTCACTAATAAACATGATTTGCCTGGCCCGCCTTGATGTTTCTCTATTTGTACCTGATTTCGTAAATGCAAAAGATAAAGGCTTATGATCAGTATAAATAATTAAATTTTGACCTTCAATTAAATAACGAAAATGAATTATGGCTAAATAAATAGCTAAAAGTTCTCTATCATACGTGCTATATTTCTTTTGCACTTCTGTTAACTTTTTAGAAAAATAACCTAAAGGTTTCCATTTGTCAGCAATTTTTTGTTGTAATACTGCACCTACGCAATTGTCTGACGCATCTGTCATTAATGAGAACGGTGTGTCTATAGATGGATAACCTAACAATGCAGCATTTTTAAGATCTTCCTTACATTGTTCAAAATTTTGTTCGGCCTCTATTGTCCAATTAATTTTACTTTTATCTTTACGTTTAGAAGAACTTAAATACTTATATAAATGTAATTGGTGGGCTGCCGAATGCGGTATGTGTGCTCTATAAAAATTTAACATACCCATAAATCTTCTTAGTTCCTCAATAGTGTTAGGTTTTGGAAAATCAATAATAGCTTTAACCTTATCCGTTAAAGGTATAATTCCTTCAGTTGTGACTTCGTAACCTAAAAAATCTAATTTTGTCTTTCCGAAACTACATTTAGCGAAATTAATTGTTATCCCATACTCGTTAAATCTTTCAAAAACTTTAAGTAAATGCTGTTTATGCTCGGTTTCATTATCTGAGGCAATTATTACGTCATCCAAATAATTAAATAAAAAATCTAAACCTTGTAAGACGGTGTGGTGCATAAAGCGCTGAAAAGTTTGTGCTGCATTACGCAATCCGAAAGGCATTCGCATAAATTCAAATAACCCAAAAGGTGTTATGACAGCCGTTTTCTCAATGTCATTTTCGGCTACGGGTATACAATTATATGCTCTATTTATATCTAACTTCGTAAATATTTTCTTATTCGACAAATTATACATAAAATCGTGAAGACGGGGAACTGGATAACGATCCGGTTTAGTAATCGAATTTAAACGTCTATAATCACCGCAAGGTCTAATATTTCCATCCTTCTTTGGCACGATATGTAAAGGACTTGCCCAAGCGCTATTACTCGGCCTACAAATCCCAAGCTCTTGCATAACTTTAAATTCATTTTTAGCTTTAACATACCTGTCTGGTGGTAGCTGCCTACTTTTCACGTGCACTGGTGGTCCTGTGGTCTCTATGTGATGACAAACGCCATGTTTAGGTGTCTCCTTATATGAAACAGGCATAGTTAACTCGGGAAACTTACATAATAAATCATAATAAGGGCAATTATCAACAATTGTCTTTACAGTGGACTCAGTTGAACTCGAAATGGTACCTCTAATGCTTAAATTAGTTAACTGATCGATTAATCTTCGTCCGTTCAAATCAATTAACAGCTTATGCTTAGCTAAGAAGTCAGCACCTAATATTGGTTGCTGTACGTCCGCTAATATAAATAACCAACGGAAAGCTCTTCTAAGGTTAAGATCTAACTCTAAACAATGCGTACCATATGTATTAATCTCGGTTCCATTCGCGGCATACAATTTATAACGTACATTATTTTTATTACCTTTAATATGTGCTATGCTGCGGGGTAGCACAGACACATTAGCACCGCTATCCACTAAGAAAGTTAAACCTGTTTTCCTGTCCATCACACAAAGACGGTTGTTAGAATCTACGCGGCCACAGCCTCCCGTCGTCGGCTGCACCGACGTTAGTTTTCCGACGGCTTGACATCTTTCTTCCAGTTGCACGGCTGGACGCACTTATTTGCCCGATTCTTGTATCGATAATGATAGTAACA